ATTTTAAGTCCTTTGGGTATAAACCGAAGAGTGGGATAGCTGGGTCAAATGATGGTTCCATTCCAAATTGTCTGAGGAATCTCTATACTGCTTTCCRGAGTGGTTCCACCAATTTGCAATACAGGGTATTGATTTAACATTCCAGCAGCCATCTTAAATGTTAACCGCCGTCTTATGAGATGAGTTTCACTTTCCTGTACTTCCTCCTACCTGAACTCCCCCCATCCCCATTAGTACCTACCCCATGGTAGCATAACCATAAGCCGTCCCCTTTGCTCTGGAAAGCCCCATGGTGCCATSGATTTAAGCCAATCCCTGGCTATTCCCCACTCACCTAGCTCTGATGCAAGTATCCCCGAGCCTATCCCATAGTGCCACAACTACAAATCCAAACCCCTACTCCACAAAAGCTGAACACCAAATATCACAAGTGCCTCTCTCCACTCTATAGAGGGATGGCCTTCTTTGTCAGCTTTGACAAATAAACCTTTGTGTGGATATCTGCCTGATCTTCATCCTTCATTTCCTGCTCGCCTTCCTCTCACTTTCTCATTTTTCTTTCAAGCTGTCCCACCAGCAATGTATCATTGTACATTTTCCCCCACATTCTCACCAATACTTATTATTGCTTGTATTCTTGAAAATCGCTATTCTGACTAGAGTGAGATGAAATCTTAGTTTTGATTTGCATTTCTCTAATTGTTAGAGATGATGAACATTTTTTCATGTTTGTTGATCAATTGTATTTCTTCTGTGAAGCGTCTGTTCAGTTCCTTAGCTCATTTATTGATTGAGTTATTTGGGATTTTTTTGTTTGTTTGTTTGTTTTGGTGTTAAGTCTTTGAGTTCTTTATGTATCCTGGAGATTAGTGCTCTATCTGAGGGGCATATGGTAAAGATTTTTCCTATTCTGTAGGCTCGCACTTCACATTATTGATTGTTTCCTTTGCTGAGAAGCAGCCTTTTAGTTTGGATCCATCCCATTTATTGATTCTTGATTATCCTTCATGTGCTTTAGGAGTCTTGTTAAAGAAGTCAGGTCCTAAGCCTACATGATAAATATTTGGGCCTACTTTTTCCTCTATTAGGCGTAGAGTCTCTGTTCTAGTAAGTCTTTGATCCACTTAGAGTTGATTTTTGTGGAGAGTGAGAGACAGAGGTTTAATTTCATTTTGCTACATAGGATTTCCTGTTTTCCTAGCACCATTTGTTGAATAGGCTACCTTTTCTCCAGTGAATGATTTGGGCACCTTTGTCTAGTATGAGATAACCATATTTATATGGGTTTTTCTCTGTGTCTTCTACTTTGTACCACACAATGGATACTTAAAAAAAAATAAAAAGAAATAAAGAAAAGAAAAAGAAAGACACATAATGAAAGCTGCAATTCTGATTAAATCCTGTACTTTAGAAAGTATTAATTAGAAGGCACTAATATAACTGGAAATATAAAGACCTTGTGACCAGCCACATTTAGTTGATTAATTCAGAATATTTGTTAGTTTTTTCCCTAACACAGTCCTTGAGAAAACAACTTTGAATTGTCTTATTATAATCTTATTGTTACTAAATATGAAAGTTATGTCTCTTGTTATATGGATAACATTTTAAAGATAACTTATAACATATCCATGATTTCCTAATTAATCTTATCTCCATTTCAAAATGAAACTCAAACAAAAAAAATCTTAACTATACTGTATACTTAAAACATTGAATATATGCATTATTTCACAGAGTGAAATTTTGAATTTAAATTTATCTTATATTCTAATATAAATTCCAATGGTGTTATTTTCAAGTTGAGGACTTGGGAAAATAAAACCTAGATGAACAGACACTATATTTCAAAGGATGACTGTTCAATTCTGAAAGTAGCTCCCATCACTATGATTCTCTTGTTGGTGCTCTATTTTAGAACAAACAAACAAACAGTGTTATCACCTTCTAACACTCTATTGGTTACTTATGTATTATGTATATGTTTATGTCTATCTCCCCCTGCTGGAATGTATATTCTCCAAGGGCAAGAATCTTTATATGTTTTGTTTGACTAATTCCAAGTACCTAGGGCACTCAATCATTTTCCTTCCATCTGATGACTCTTTTATATTTTCCTTTTTTTWAAAAAAAGAGAGAGAGAATTTTAATATTTATTTTTTTAGTTATCGGTGGACACAACATCTTTGTTTGTATGTGGTGCTGAGGATCGAACCTGGGCCGCACGCATGCCAGGCRAGCACGCTACCACTTGAGCCACATCCCCAGCCCAGTAAGTACATATTGAAGGAACCAAAACTTCGAAAGCATGCCTCTCAAACTTGTGGGTGGCTCTATAATTAACGTTAAATACCAGGCTCTCAATTTTAAAGAATCTGGATTTTTTAAATTATGCAGAAATGCTGGAATACTGAACCAAAGCTAACTAGATGAAATTTAACAGATAGTTCCAAATTTGGATACAAATTGGGTTTTAACTTGCAAAATGGGAGAAATTTGAATCTGTAATGTGATGTGCCTAAAAACAAAACAAAGACATTCACTACTTTGCATTACTAAAAAGCATAGGAGCTGGATCATGGGAGTTGAGTTCTGTTGTATACTATGAGCTTTTCAGATATATGTTCTGTGTTGTGATAAGGTACATTAACAAAATAGATTCCAGAAGTTGGTAAATGAGCTCCTAAGTGATCTGAGGATCATCATCATGAAAGATATTAGGGAATGCCTAGCTTGAAAAGGGGTTGGGGGTGAGGTATTAAAGGAAAATTCTAGTTCAACCAAGTTAACATTATTACTGCTTGTACAACACTTTACAATTAGGAAACTAAGACCCAGAGAAGGTAATGGAGTTGCCCAAAGTCAGTCAGTTAATGAGTTAGGATTTATTTATTTTTAGTTTTATTTTTCAGTACTGAGGAATGAATCCAAGACTGCTTAACCGCTGAGCCACATCCCAGGCCCTTTGTGTATTTTATGTAGAGACATGGTCTTGCTAAGTTGCTTAGGTCCTCACAAGTGGCTGAGGCTGGCTTTGAACTTCTTAAAAGAGGAAAATTTGGACAAAAACACCCAGAAGGAAAATGACAACAAAACACAAGGAGGTGGATGTCAATGTGAAGATGCAGACACAGGGAAAAAGGTCAGATAATGACAGAGGCAAAGATTGGAGTGATGTATCTACAAAGGGATGAGCACCAAGGATTGCTGGCAACCAGAAGCTAGAAAAGGCAGAAGCCCACTGGATGCAGTGGCACACACCTGTAATCCCAGTAACTTGGGAGGCTGAGGCAGGAGGATTGCAAGTTCAAAGCCAGCCTCAGCAAAAGCAAAGTGCTAAGCAACTCAGTGAGACTCTGTCTCTAAATAAAATACAAAAGAGGGCTGAAAATATGGTTCACTGGTTGGGTGCCTCTGAGTTCAATCTCCAGTACTAAAAAAAAAAAGGCAGGATCCTTCTCCAAAGCTATCAGATAAAATATGATCTTGCTGACACCTTAATTTCTGACTTCTCACCTCCCAAAGTGTGAGAAAATAAATTTCTGTTGCTTTAACCCACCCGTTTTTGTGGTATAGTATTTCCTAGGGTATGAATACAGTTGATGAGCAGTCATGGAAACTTCAGTATGGGTAATAATAGCACTTTATAATTTTCAGTAGCTTCAGAAAAAATTCCAATAGATCCCCACAAATACTGTAAAGTAGCAGTATAGTTTATAGATAAGGTAATGATCAGAGGTATTAGGAACATGACAGAGTGACAGAGTTTAAACCCAAGTAAAGAGACCTATTAAATTCTCTGACCTTATTAAACAAACATTCCATCCCTTCCCACTTTTAAGTTTCTTTTCCCATCACGGCTCCATTTATTTTTTATCTCCAGCAATTTGTTTCCAGGAAGATCTCTTATCAGTCGTTTAGATGAACATGAATTTTGCCAATATCACATTATCTAAATTTCTGCATTGTACAGCCTTCACTCTTTATCTTTTGTAAGAAAGCTCAGGCATCCTCAGTAGACAAGAATGATAAACTGAGGGAAAACAGGTCAGACACAGGGCAGCAGCCTACTACACTAACTTTAGTAAACAGTCAGGAGAGTAGGATCTATCTGAATCCAGTATGACCTCATCTTAACTTGGGCATTTTATGGGCAAACACCCTAATGCAAAGGTCACATTTTGGGGTTCTCCAGGGAAAAGAATTTTGGGAACACCTTTCAACACAGTACACTAGCTAAATGTTTTTCTCCACAGATCTACCCTTGAATCTCTCTCCTCATAGTTCACTCTCTCCTTTCACAATCTCCTTCACCACCACAGTMAGTCAGAGCCAATATTTGCAGGAAATATTTTTTTTTCCCTGCAGAAAGCTGTTAAACATGTCAACAGTCCACTGTCAATATAGATTTCCTATTACATTCTAGCACAAAGAGATTTGGCATCTTCCCTAAGTTTGCACAGCTCCTCATTTTAGGATAAACAGGAGCCTTTGGTTCAGTTCCTCCCCCACCCCCTCCCCCCCACCCCACACACTAAACCATCTTCACTTTCATAGACTGATAGATGCTGCTTTAGCTGCTCTTTGGGACTAAAGTAAAAACTTTCAGCCAAATAACTACCAAATACAACCTTGTCAGTACATATCATTCTTTAAAGCACTTGTAAAAGCTTTACAATCAGAAAGTCTTGGCCCGTTCCTGGCTCTGCCGAGGGGGGGGGGGGAGGGCACAAAAATATCATTAATCTCTCCGAGCTTCGGTTTCTACACATAACAGAACACCTATTCTAGATATTTTATTGCAATGATTAAATGATAGGCTAAGATCAGAAGCTCAGGAACCCAAGCTGCAAGACTTCAAGATAAACGCTTTAGATCTCAGGCCACCTCTGCAAGAGGACCTCTCACAGAGGCGCACGCGCCGCGTGAGGGCCCCGGGCCCGGAGGACCCGAAGGGCCGCTCCGCCCCGCCCCACTGGGGCGCCTGGAGCGCCTGATCGCCTCAGATTCCGTGCCCCCGCACCCAGATCCGCGACCGCCCGCGGTTCCTCCTCCCAAATGCCGCAGACAGGAGTACCTAGAGGATTTGGGCTTGACGCGGAGTGAGGCACAGCCTGAGACAGCCCCGGCTGGCGCGCCGCGGCCACGCGAGGTCCCCGCCACCGCCCGCGGTAGAGCCCCAGCCCCAGCCCCAGCCCCTCCCGGAGAGCCGAGGCCTGTGGATCGCACAGTCCGCGCAGTCCTCTGGGTCTGCGTGACSACCATGCCTCTCTACGAGGGCCTAGGCAGCGGCGGCGAGAAAACGGCTGTCGTGATCGACCTAGGAGAGGCCTTCACTAAGTGAGTGGCCATGGCGCCCGCTGTGGCCCCCTGGGGGTTCAGTTGGCTTGAGTACCGGCCCAGCCCGGGTCTTCATTGTGGGYTCCCAGGGCAGTTTCCGGTCTCCCCCGTGCTTTTTCTCGGCACCGCCCCCTCCCCCCAAGTGATGGCTTTTGTTTACACCTTGAGGGATGCAAATCCTGATGAGCAAGTGGGGCTGGGAGGAAGGGAGACTCAGGGAGCTTTGAGAGGATCGTCCTCGCTGCCTCTGTGGTCATCACCTCAAACCCAAGGGACCTTTTGAGGTTCTGTGTAGGGGATGACAGCGATGACCTGGACCCCGCTTACCCTGAGTTCGTTTGATCAGGAAGGCTGCAACCAGTTGTAACACTTGATAATGATTTCCACTCTAAAATTTTATTGAACGGATCTTCCGTTGGTGCTGGAAATTATTTAAGATAGTGATATTGCTCCCCAACTTAGGGAATTTAGTTAAGGACACTGTCCTTTGTTGGGTTCTCTATACTCTTAGATTAGATTTTTGCATTAAAAAAAAAAAAACAAATTGAAAACATTAGTATGCGCCTTTGGATGGCTGAGAAATCTTTGAAAGCCAGATGGCATTCACAAATGCACAATTCTTAAAACATTTGCATACAGCTTCCAGGGATTTGCGGACCATCTTTGTGGTTTTTGCACCCTAGTTTAAGAGTCCTTGTAGGAGGCTCAAGAGAGAAAAGTGTCTTGCAGTTACAGTTATCTGACTGTATATGTACAGTATGGAAATACTTGAAGTCCTTATATGTCTTTGAGCACTATCTAACATGTAGTAAGTATTAAATAACTTTTTAAATTAAGTGGTTAAAAGATATACTGAAAAATTGAACCTCGAGAGCTACAAAATTGAATTAAACATAATCCTTGGTTCATACATTGTGTGTTGTTCTGTAAAATATTTTCTTATTTATCTCAATAGGGCTAGGGCTGTGGCTGTGGCCCAGCAATAGCGCATTTGCCTGGCATGTGTGAGGCACTGGGTTCCATTCTCAGCATCACATATAAATAAATAAAAGATCTATCAACAACTAAAAAATATATTTTCAAAAAACATAATAGATATCTTGAAATTACTGCTCAAAGGTTATTTTGACTGTACATTAAAGAAATAAGCAAAAAGCTATTACACAGGATAGTGTTGCACATTAACTAAATCACCATTAAGTGATGTATGCATAACGGTATCAATGAAGTCACATAATATAATGCAGATCTAGGATTGTAGAAATTTCTTGTCTCAAATTCAGCTATAATTAAAAATTGGGGAAAAAATAAGTACTGACCAAAAACGATATACTGGTTTATTTCAGCATCAAAAACTTGAGGTGATTTGATTTTTTTCCTTTAATGTACAAATTACTATTAGATGATACTAAACTCTTACGGTTTGACAGGACCTGGGTAGTGTCCCTTTGAATGCATCAAAGGTATTTCCAGATATTTTTATAGGCATAGTTTTGAAACAAATACACAAAAACTTAAATAAATATTGAAAATGTTATAAGTGCAGTGTTTTAATTTTTCTTATATTTTCAGGTGTGGATTTGCTGGAGAAACTGGTCCAAGATGTATAATTCCCAGTGTGATAAAAAGAGCTGGCATGCCTAAGGTATTTTATTTTTTAACAAATAAGCAAAATAAATTCTGTAATATAAAATATTTTAAAATATGACTTCAGATAAGATTGATTAAAATAGTGCTAAATGTATAATATGATGTACCCAAGAGAAATGATATGATCTACCTTCCCAAGAGAAAGTGTTTTTTTTTTTTTTTTTTAAGTCAACTTTGTGGTCTAATTTTGTATACCATAAATTTGTCACATATGTTCAGATTACAACCTAATCTTAGAATATTTTTATCACCCCAATAAGTTTCCTAATACCTACTTATAGTTGATTCCTATGTCCACCTCCTGCTGATGTGCTGTTCCTATAGATTTGCCTTTTTGCACATTTTATGTAAGTGGAATCATATAATATCAAGAGAAAAGTTTTTAACCTTAGTATAATGATTTTTATGCCCTGTAGCATAATATAATCTACTGAACAATTTTATTCTTACCTTATTCAAAGTCTTCATTTCCTTATCTATCTAAAATTCTAAAACCAGAAGAATTTTGAGAAACCAGTTTTTTTTATTGTTGGTTTTTTTTGTTTTGTTTTGTTTTGKTTTGGTTCTTTTTGGTACTAGGATCCAAACCAGGGGCACYTAACCACTGAGCAATATTCCCAGCTCTTTTTWGTATTTTATTTAGAGACATGGTCTTGCTGAGCTGCTAGGTGCCTCTCTAATCTGCTGGGGCTGGCTTTAAACTCCAGATCTTCCTGCCTCAGCCTCCCAAATTGCTGGGATTACAGGTGTGTGCAACCATACCTAGCAACAAAAAGTTTTACTAAATATTAAATAAGTCTTGCTGACGCTAATTTGGCAAATTAGACTGAATAGAGTAATTTTGTCTACCATAAAATTCACTGGTTAGAAAACAAGATATAGATGGTTCTGCTGTTACAACACTATAATCCTGAAAAACCTGTGGTACTTTTTTTGGGGTGGTACTGGGGATTGAGCCACATCCCCAGCCCTTTTTTTTTTATATATATATATTTTTTTTATGTAGAGACTGTTCTCACTAAGTTGCTTAGGGCCTTACTAAGTTGCTGAGGCTAACATGGGATCCTCCTGCCTTAGCCTCCTGAGCTGAGACCTTGCCCTAGGACCTTGCCCTGCTGTTGTAGAGTTTCAAAAAACAAAACAAGTTTATGGAGAACATAAAGTTGGAGTAGACTAAACAAAACCTGTGTAACTTTGTGAACAATGAACTAGCAAAGACAATAGTTAATAATTCATGAAAATTTGAATAGCTTTGACTGGTGCTGGAGGCTATCTGAAAAGATATTAAAGACAAAATAAAACTGTGAATTGATCTTTATTTTTTTTAAAGAGAGAGAGAATTTTAATATTTATTTTTTAGTTATCRGCAGACACAACATCTTTGTTTGTATGTGGTGCTGAGGATCAAATCCGGGCCGCACGCATGCCAGGCCAGCGCGCTACCRCTTGAGCCACATCCCCAGCCCAAAACCGTGAATTGAAATATTGGCCATTGGGTCCTGAGATAATGCAAGTGGAAGCAAGCTCTTAACCAGTGTGGCTGTTGTTAAATTGGGACCATGAGATACAGCCCAGTAACTTTAAGGATCCATTCTGTGGAGGGATCTTTAGTATATGGGATCACTTAAAACTTTTCTTGAATAGATGTAAAATGATCAGTACCTGTGTGACCACTGAATTGAAGACTTTTTCTTAATGAAGGTTATAACTCTGCTATCATAATTTTAGCTTTTCCCTAATATGAACTAAGAACACCTTGATAGTATAGATATTATCCCCTGACTTAGTAATCACATAGGAGCATATTCAGTTTTATAAAAATAGATGTTGTAGAGTATATCAATTTATATTGGTCCTGGAATGTATCATAAATCTTTTTACTTGATTATGGAATCATTTTCTTGATTTCAGAGTTTCTGCAAATGCTTTGACAAGCCAGAAATATAGTAGCTGTTTGTGGTGTGATGATCAAAATGTGATTGAAGTTCCATGTATTCATTTTTCATGTCATTGTGTGTTATAATAATTGGCATTATTATGTTACTAGGTAGATTCCTGATGGAACTTAGAACCTTTACATCTTCACTGACATTTTTCTTAGTGCTTTGAGCTTTTATTATTTTGAAAAGGTAAATATATATAAAGATTATCTATTTGGGGCTATACTTGGTTTAGAACATTTTTTAAATGTTCTAAAATCAAGAAGTGAAAAAAAAATTTGAAAAATTAAAAAAAGTGAGGGTTGGGGTTGTAGCTCAGTGGTAGATCACTTGCCTAGCAAGCATGAGGCACTGGGTTGGATCCCTTGCACCACATAAAAAATAAATAAATAAAAATGAAGATATTGTGTTCATCTACAACTTAAAAAAAAAAAAAAAATCAAGAAGTGAGCCATGCTGAAGACCTTTCCTTTTAAAAGAGTAGGTGAAGACAGGTCTGTCAATGATACATTGGAGTACTTAGAGCTTTCTGAGGATCATGAGTGAAGCCTTGTTGTATTATACTCGTGATTTGATAGTGCTTACATATTTAGCATTAATGTTCTTGTTTTTAAGATTTTGATGGGGGCAGTACTGGGGAGTGAATCCTAGAGTACTCTACCATTGAACTATATCCCYGCCCTTTTTATATTTTATTTATTTTTAAAATTTCTATTAGTTATTGATGGACCTTTATTCATTTACTTATTTATATGTGGTGCTGATAATTGAACCCATTGCCTCACACATGCTAGGCAAGTGATCTACCACTGAGCCACAACCCCAGCCCCTTTCTTTTATATTTTATTTTGAGACAGGATCTTGCTAAGTTGCCTTGATTTTGATGCTACTGCCTCAGCCTCTCTCTGATATTATAGGCATGCACCATTGTGCCCAGCTTTTACCATGTTTATAAATAAACTACTATTTTTCTTGTCCCTTGGAGTTTATAGTCTAGCATGAAGGTAGACATTTTACAGATAAATGAGTGTGGTAATGTAAAAGGGATGATTTCAGTGCTTTGGAAGTGACTAGGGACTGAACCAAATATGGATTATTTGAGGAGTCCTTTAATTCTTTTTAATCAATATTGATTTTTATTATCAGTCATGCTAACATGGTAAGTCACACAGGCAAAAAAAAAAATGTGTATGAGCATAGCTCTTAACTTACAGATATATACTTCTATTACTATAAACAAAAAATTTCTTTTTTTTTGGATATTGCCAGTTCTTATGGATTCCTAATTTAAGAAATTAATCTATTTTTTAAATTTTTAATCTATTCCCAATACACATTGCTTTTTATTTATTCTGAGAAAATATTTCAATAAAATAAATGAGCACATTTTGAGATTATTAATATAAGTCATTTTAATTTTTTATAGCCAATCAAAGTTGTTCAGTATAATATAAATACAGAAGAATTATATTCCTACCTAAAGGAATTCATCCACATATTGTATTTCAGGTAAGGTGGAATTCTATTTGTTTGGGTTTGTTTGTTTCTTAGCTTTTGCAATTAGATGTTTTCTTAATGCCAGTCATAATAATATTTGGTTGTATTACATCTGATGCAAAAAAGTTTTTTGGCTTTCGTTGTCATTTTTATTTGCTTATTTTCAACCTTTTCAAAAATATATTAGAAAAATAAATAATTTTTTTTTTTTTTTAAGTATAATGGAGGGCTGTGGATGTAGCTCAATGGTAAAGTATCTGCCTGTCCTGCACAAGGCTCTGGGTTTGAGCCCCAGCACCCCCCCCCTTCACAAACACATACACCAAAATAAATAAATAGATAGATAGATGTGGGTGTCTATTAGAAGACTAGAAAACAAAACAAGCATAACATTGAAAATAAATCAAATGCCCATTAATAAAAGAGATGACATGTAAATTATTATACATCCATACAGAAAGACATGTAGCCAATAAAAAGGGAGTTCTGGGGGCTTGAGGATATACCTCAGTAGTAGAGTACTTGCCTAGCAGGCACAGGGCCCTGGATCTTTAATCTATGTCTAGTGATACAGAAATGTGGCTTAGGTATATTGATAAGTGCAAAGGACAAATTGAAGAACATCTGTGGAATGAATATTTCTGTTCAGATACGTGTACACATCCATAAGAGTGAAAAAATATATAGACTACTGTTAGGGGTAGTTTCTGGGTAATAGAAGTATAAGGTTTTTGAACTTTACAAGTTAATCTCTGTAACATTTTGAAGTTTTGTGAACATCTATTACTTTCATAACCCCAGAAAAGAAAATATCTTTTTAATGACTAAAGCTAGTAGTCRAAATGGGCTGTGGTTTTAGTTTTCTGAGATAAATGAGTTTCTGAGATTCTGGCATGGTGCATGGCACATAATAGGAGCTCAGAAACATAACCTTTCTGGGGTGATAAAGTGGAGATATCTTTTTGTCATAAAGCTAGGATAGAGCAGTTTCTCTATTTTTAAATTGTATTAATTAACAAAATAAGTACCAACTTTTTATTTACTTTTAAAAACAAAACTATCTCTTTTCAGGCATTTGTTGGTGAATCCCAGAGATCGTCGAGTTGTAATTATTGAGTCGGTATTATGTCCTTCTCACTTCAGAGAGACCCTCACTCGTGTTCTTTTCAAGTATTTTGAGGTAACTATTTTTAAGTCAAATGATTGAGCTGCTTTTAAACTGGAGAAGAAAGCTATGTGGTATAGCACTTGCTTATCATGTGCAAGTCCCTGGGTTCAGTCCCTAGTACCACACTTACACATTCACAAAGTAGACAAGTAATAAAAGTCATACATATTAATGTTAGGGAATCTCCCCACCCTCCTCCCTGCCTTTTTTGTTTTTTTGATAAGCACTCAAAACTTAAACTAATGAGTCAGCATTTTTATTTCTTTCATTGTGTGTATTATACAATATATTTGTGGAATCAGATGACAGAAACCTCTTCACATTGGCTATTTCTTTTTATGGTTATTTCATGCTTAACTAACATTTTATCTAACCTTTAGATAGTATATTTCTTATTAGTGTTTCTGGTATTTATTTTAATGTAGTTTGGGAGGATTTTTTTTTTTCAGAATTAAAAGGTATGTTATGGAGTTTATGTTTTCTTTCTTTTGGATCTTTCTAGTTTTTGTTATGCTGATTGCTCTGAATTCTTCAATTTTTTTAAATTTTATTTTAAGTTTTAAATTCCTTTTAAGTGGAATATTAAAGTACTGTGTCTTTTAGACTAAGTGGGCAGTCCCAGGAATGAGACCTCTCTTGATATTAGTAATATTACTTGAAGTTTTTATTTTATAGGAGTCAAGATTATTTATTTAAGACTGAGAATATATTATAAGATTATTACATTTTAAAGTATGCCAGAATCTTTACTACTTAATTTATTTAAAATCTCTTCCTTGAAATTTAGGGTTCTTTTCAGCAAGGGAAAGTGGATGATTACATAAAATGTTACAGTATATAAGAAATTAACGTGTTGTTTCATGCATTTTACTGAACTTGGAATATATCTAATACTAAAAATCAGTATCTGTGTGGTAAGGGCAGTTAATATTTCCTAAGTTATGTTTTGGTAAGATAAGTACAGAGAACAGATTGCATAGCCTCCTCTTCTTATTGATATCATAAAGTTGGGAATTTCACGTGCTGTCAGAATAACACAAAACAAAACAGTAAGAATTTATATCAGCTCTTAGGTGAATAAAGAAGGTTCTCTGTATCTATGCTTTTAAGAGATTTAGTTGTGTTTGATAACTATCCTTATGTATATGACTAGAATACTTGCTATATCTACTTAGCTAAGGGAAATATAGCTATTATTTTGGCTATTTGATTATGATGGACCAAATATCTAGTGTTTGGGGTGTCACTAGATTGTCAACTTCTGAATGGAGAAAATGTCATACAATTAAGATTTTTGTAGTTTTGTTCTTCAATTCAATTTTAACTGCTAGATTATAGTGTTTTAAAAATATAATTCATATTACAAACTTCACAAATAAATTAAAAATTCTTTTCTGTGTTTTCCTCTGGATGGTAAAGGCATTTGTTTCCTTTTTTTTTTTTTTTTCTTTMTTTATTTATTGGTACTAGGGATTGAACCCAGGAGTGCTTAACCACTGAGCTACATCCCAGCCCTTTTTACTTTTTATTTAGGGACAGGGTCTGACAGTTTCTTAGGGCCTTGCTAAGTAAGTTGCTGAAGCTGGCTTTGAATTTGCAATCCTCTTGCCTCATCAGCCTCATCACTGTATTTTTTTAAATCGTCTTTGAACTTATGTTTCCAGATGTCTTTTATCCCATTCTGTTTTCCCACTTCTAAGGAAATAGAACAAGTATTAATAAAAATGTTTCAGAATTATCACTTTGTAATGAAACAACTTCAGTGGTTTTTATTTATGACAGTATTAAATTCATTCAAATCAAGCAACTAGTTTTTAGCTAAATATTATAAAATGGTTGGATACCATAATAAAAATAAATACTATGTTCCTGTGATGTTTTTTCAAATGTATTTTAATATCTTCAAAAACTGCCACTCATTCTAGTTTTGTTGTTTTCTAGGTTCCATCTGTCTTGCTTGCTCCAAGTCATCTAATGGCACTTTTGACACTTGGAATTAACTCTGCTATGGTCCTAGATTGTGGATACAGGGAAAGCCTGGTGTTACCTGTATCTTTTTTGTCAACCAGCCAATTATGTAATTTCTACTATGCTTTAACTGAAATAAGTGGTTTATTACAAATGATTTTTTTTTTTGGGGGGGGGGTACTGGGATTGAGCCCAGGGGTGCTTAACCACTGAGCCACATCCCTAACCCTTTTTTATAATTTATTTAGAGACAGGGCTTTGCTGAGTTGCTTAGGGCCTCACTAAATTGCTTAGGGCCTCGCTAAATTGCTTAGGCTGGCTTTGAACTTGTGATCCTCCTGCCTTAGCCTCCCAAGTCACTGGGATTACAGACATGCTCCACTGTGCCTGGCTACAAATGATTTTTTATTGTATTGAACTATTTGGGGTTATTATACACAAGTATTATTACCATGTGGTAAAAGTTTGCAGGATTTTAAGATTTAAATTTACTTTTTTGTAGAAAGTTTAATTATAGTTGAGTTCTAGTATATAGTCCAAGAGTAGACTTGATGAATATTCTATTCAGTTTTCAAAAGAAACAGCTATTTTTTTTATTATTTATTTTTTAGTTTTAGGTGGACACAATATCTTTATTCTATTCCCTCGCAGTGCTGAGAATCAAACCCAGTGCCCCACGCATGCCAGGAAGCGCGCTACCACCTGGGCCACATCCCCAGCCCCAGAAACAGCTATTTATAATGTGTTGAAGAAGTTGACTAGGATAGTTAAATTCTAAGGAAAAAAAATCATACAAATAGTCATTAGAGAAACTGAAATGAGAAAGTATAATAAAAAAAACCAAAACTTAAAATTGTATGGCAGAATGAATTCAGCCTTCCTTCAAATAGATGAAATGTTCACTTTTAGAAAAATGAATACATTTTTTTCTTTTATGTATGGGGGCTTTCATGCAGACAGAATACCATAGGATTTATGAGCCTAGATTTTGGAATCAAATACACAATAAGTGCAAATCTCAGCTATGCTTTTTTTTTWAAAAAAAAATTGTTCTTTAGTTGTAGATGGACACAATATCTTTATTTTGTTTATTTATTTTTATGTGGTGCTGAGGGTCAAACCCAGTGCGCACATGGGTCAAACCCAGTGCTCACATGTGCAAGGGAAGTGCTCCACCATGGAGCCACACCCCAGCCCCCTCAGCTATGCTGCTTACTCTAGGTGTAATGTTGGTCAAGTCATGTAAATTCTTCTGGCCTCTGTTTCCACATCTTTAAAATAGCAATGATAATATTTCTATCTCATGAAAGAATTACATGGGTTGAGTTGAGTGAGTTAATGTATGTGAAGTATTAAGCACAGGACTTGGCATATAGTAGCTTGCTCAATTAAGTGTTAGATGTTAGAGTTCTTATGTCATTCACTAAGGAAGAACTTACTAATAATTCAAGTTGTCCCCAGATGGAATTATTATATAAATTGCTGCATTTTTTTTTTTTTTTTTTTTTGGTATTGAGAATTGAACTCAGGGGCACTCAACCACTGAGTCACATCCCCAGCCTTATTTTGTATTCTATTTAGAGACAGGGTCTCACAGAGTTGCCTAGCACCTCACCTTTGTTGAGGCTGGCTTTGAACTCAAAATCCTCCTGTCTCAGCCTCCCAAGAAGCTGGGATTACAGGCATGAGCCACTGTGCCCAGCTGCATTTTTTTTTTTTATTATGAACATTTAAGCAGAGTTATCCATAAGTATTGTTAGAATATCAAGGGGACATTGCTTCATTGAAAAAAAAGGTAGCTGAAGTACATGCATGTAAGACTCTTTCAGTTTTAAGGTATCCATGTATATTTATTGGAAGAAATATTTGTGGGGAGGAAATAAAATTTTGTACTCCAAGGAACTAAATTAGTAGTTAAATATAAAGTACTTTGTTTTAATTCTCAAAACAACTCTACAACATAAGTATTATCTTTACATAAATGAATAAATTAAAAGTTGAGAAAGGTAGTTGTGACTCACAGTCATATGTTTGTGTCTAAAACCAGTACTTTTACCAGTATACTTTTTCCCCTTTTTATAGAATATCAGTCAAGCTCTCTCCTATAGAAATATAATATGGACCAAATATGTAATTTAAAGTTTTCTAAGAACCATTATTTTAAAAAAACACAAGCAAAAGTAATAAGATTAATAGTATATTTTATCTAAACACTATATTAAGAAATTATTCCAGGGCTTGGGTTGTTGCTCAGTGGTAGTGCACTTGTCTGGCATGTGTGAGGCACTGGGTTTGATCCTCAGCACCACATAAAAACAAATAAATAAATAAAGGTATTGTGTCCATCTACAATTAAAAAAATATTTTWAAAAAAAACTATTCCAATATATACAGTAAAAATCTTTAATGATATATTTTATTTTTTTTATTAAAAAGTCTTCGAGCCAGGCATGGTAGCGCACACATATAATCCCACCATCTTGGAAGGCTGAGGCAGGAGGATCACAAGTTTGAGGCCAGCCTCAGTAACTTTAACAGTGCCTTAAGCAACCTTATTATAATCTTAAGGATCCTCCTGCCTCATTCTAAGTTGCTGGGGTTTTACAGGTGTATGCCACTGTGCCCGGCTTATTTTTTAAATGTTTTCTTTGGTGAAGAATATGAAAAAGGATATTTCTGTAACTTTTAAAAATAAAATATAAGAGCCTGTCACCTAAGTAGATTTAGAACAGTACTCCAGAAGTTGAGAAAAATATCAAGAAAACCACATTATATCTTCTAAAATAGTAATGTCCTTGACTACCATATAGATATATGAAGGAATCCCAGTACTAAATTGTTGGGGAGCACTACCCCTTGGAGGAAAAGCTCTTCACAGGTAAGTCTCTTGGAATTTAGCAGGTTCTCTTTTCACATTTGCTTGTTACAAAAACAGATACTAATCTGTTTATTGATGAATGTCAATAGAGGGCTTATTAATTTCATTCATTCCATTCTCTCTTAACTTTGAATGTATTCATCTTTTAAGGATAAAAGCRTCATATTTTATTATTTAAAGCACATAATCTATTATATAGTAAAAGTTTTAAGTGAGAAAAGGATATTWGTTGCAATATTTTAATTTCTGTGACTTTTTCAAATTTCAGGGAATTGGAAACTCAACTGTTGGAACAATGTACTGTTGACACGGGTGCTGCTAAAGAACAGAGTCTTCCCTCTGTGATGGGTAATTTCACTTTGAGCTGTTTAAGACTAATTTATACTCTTTTCATTTCTTTAACTTATATTTTAGAATTTGCCCTTTGGCCTAGTTACTCTGATTTCCTCCAACACTCTGATGACCTTTCCCCAATTATAAGGTCTTCATTGAATTCCTTTTTTTTTTTTTTTTTTTCCTGGGTACTGGGGATTTAACTCAGGGGCACTGAACCCCTGAGCTCCATCCTCAGCCTAATTTTGTATTTTATTTAGAGACAGGGTCTCAGTGAATTGCTTAGCACCTTGCCATTGCTGAGGCTGGCTGTGAACGCTGGATCCTCTTGCCTCAGCCTCCTGAGTTGCTGTGATTACAGGTGTGTGCCACTGCACCTGGCTCTTCATTAAATTCTTAATGACCAAATCCATTTCTGTTAGTCATTGTTGCTACAGCTTTTAACATCGTGGATCATCGTATACTCTTGAAAATCTCCTTTTCCTCAGCTTTCAGGTTTTTCTTTTGTGGTGTCTGTTATTTCTGAATGTTCCTTCTTGGTACCCTCTGCTTTTGCTTTCTCCACTCACTTCTCTAAGGATCAGTTTTTTGTTCCTACTTTCTTCTGCTTTTATTTACTTATTTATTTATATGATACCAGGGATTGAACCAAGAATGCTTACCCACTGAGTTACATCACCAGCCCTTTTATTATTTTTTTATTTTGAAACCTGGTCTTGCTAAGTAGTGTAGAGCCTCACTAAATTGCTGAGGCTGGCTTTAAACTTGAAATCCAATTGTCTCAGACTCCCTGTGCAAGTGGGATTATAGGCATGCACCACCACATCCAGCTGCTTACTTTTTAGTACCAGGGATTGAACTCAAGGGCACTTGACCACTGACTGAGCCACATCCCCAGTCCAATTTTGTATTTTATTTACAGATAGGGTCTCACTCACTTGCTTAACACCTCGCTTTTGCTGAGACTGGCTTTGAACTCTTGATCCTTCTGCCTTAGCTGCTGGAATTACCAGTTTGCGCCTCCATGCCTCGCTTTCTACTTACTTAAAAGGTGATCTCATCTAATTCCATTACTTCAGTATACCTGTATGGTATTGAGTCTCAGATATGTCACTGAGCCTGATCCTTCTTCTGAACTTGATATTCATATTTCCAGCTGACTATCAGACACAAACTATGTGTGTCACCTGGGACCCCAAACCTAAGACTTCCTGTGTATTTCAGTTAGTGATTCTTAGATGAGAATAACAACATCTTTCTTTTTTTTTTAAATATTTATTTTATTTCTTAGTTTTAGGTGGACACAATATCTTTATTTTACATTTATGTGGTTCTGAGGATCGAACCCAGTGCCTCATGCATGCTAGGCAAGCACTCTACCACTGAGCCACAACCCCAGCCCAACAACATCTTTCTTATCTCCCATTTTAGAGAACTGGGAGTTAGTAAATCTTTTCAGTTCTTCCAAAGAAATCTCTCAAAATTCATCTTTTCCCTCCATTTTCCACACCATTTAACATATGAAAACAAAGGTATTATTTTAATCTAATTCCTTTTATTATAGCAGCCTATTTTCTGAACTGATTGTCTATTTCACACTGTTGTCAAGAGTAACTTTCCACAAAAATCTGATTAAATTGCTCTTTTGCTTCAGAATTGTTGTTAGCTTCTATTAATTAAAATCCAAATAATGTTTCATATACAGGTTTCTTCCTAGTCTGACCTGATTCTCCCTCTTAGCCCTAACTAGTTTATTTCAGTCCTTCAAGCACCATGAGTCCTTCTTGCATAATCCTATGCCTTCATTTATTCCATTTATCTACCTGGGATGTTTTTCTTTGCCTAGTTGAGTTTTTAATCCTACAACATAACTCATCTGGAATGTTACCTCCATTGTGAAGCCATCCTGATCTTCCCCAAGCAGAATAATTTGCCCCTTTGTTAATCTCAGAAATATTTTAAAAAATAATTTTTGTGGGGTTGGGAGGGTGTCACTGGGAATTGAACTCAGGGGCATTCAATCACTGAGCCRTATCTCCATCCCTGTTTTGTAGTTTATTTAGAGACAGGGTCTCACTGAGTTGCTTAGGACCTCGATTTTGCTGAGGCTGGCTTTGAACCGTCAATCCTCCTGCCTCCTGAGCTGCTGGATTACATTCATGCACCACTGTGCCCAGCATTTGGATATCCTTTCTTTAGTTAACCTTTTTCAATTGATTCTAATCTTCCTATCCCAAACTTCCCCAAATCAAATCTATGATAATTCATCATGCAATCTTACTAAAGTTAAGGAAATAAACATATTGCTGTTTGCTAAATCACCCACATAGCAGGATCAGAAATGGAAATACATTTAAAATTTCTCTTTTTTAAGATCCTTAGCAAAGATAAGATAAATAGGTGTTAGATATAATTGAGTATTCTCAGTTGAATTTTCAACAGCATCTTTCATTTAGTATTTAGAATTTATTTCATCTCAACTTGGTGATACATGCCTATAATCCCAGCAACTCAGCAGCTGAGGCAGAAGGGTTACAGTTGGATGCCAGTCCAGGCAACTTAACAAGAGCCTGTCTCAAAAAAATAAGAAGGACGGGGGTGTAGCTCAGGGGTAGAACACCTCTGGGTCCAGTTCCTCCTAGGAAGCCAGCGGGTGGCAGACAGAAAAATTAAGTATCCTCTTCCCAAAGCAGCATCTGACTTTAGCTAAATTAAACCATTTATTTGCAAACCTATCTTACATTCGCCTATAAAAAACTATTTCTTTTTTTTTTTTTTTTTTTTTAACACCAGGAATAGAACCCGGGGGTGCTTAACCACTGAGCTACATTCCCAGTACTTTTTATTTTTCATTTTGAGACAGGGTCTCTCTAAGTTTCTTAGGGTCTTGCTATTGCTGAGCCTGGTCTTTAATTTGCAATCCTCCTGTCTCTGCTTCCCAAATCACTGGGATTACAGGTGTGTGCCACTGCACTGGCTTTTAGCACTCGACCACTGAGCCATGTTCCCAGCCCTATTTTTTTTATTTTATTTACAGACAGGGTCTCACTGAGTTGCTCAGCACCTTGCTTTTGCTGAGGCTGGATTTGAACTTTCGATCCTTCTGCCTCACCTTCCTGAACCGCTGGGATTATAGGCATGCAACACTGCACCCGGCCTAACACTTATTCRTAAATTGCAGGTTTTTATAATCCATTCACATCTCTCTCATCTGTTTTTCTAGCCAAGTTTAAATGTTTTGGAATATCTTTATCCTTTTATGAGCTAGATTTTAACTCCTAAAGATAGAAATCCTCAAACTGTTTTGATCATACACTGACCTCCCAGGTTTTAAAAAACTTAAACGTGTACCTTCAATATATATGTGTATTTACAAACTATA